AAAGTAAATTTTTAAAATCTGTATTGTTCCATACAGCACTGTTCGGTACATGTATTGTTGCACCCCTAATATATATATAATCTTTGATTTAACCAGGTAGATCTCCCTTAAATTTAGATTTTTATGGGTGACTTTAAAGTGTCCCTTAAAAAGGGAGATTTTTTTTTACCTATACATATTTATTCCACTCAATTAATGTGTGATTTATTTATTTTCTGTTATAAGATAAGATAAGAAAAGATAAGATAAAACTTCATTGATCCCACAGTGGGGTAATTTGCACATTACTGCAGCTCAAAACAGGACAGGGTGAGATAGAATAAAGAAAGATAAGTTAAAGAAAAACAAAAAAACACTATACTCGTGATATATAACAATGTACATATACCTAGTACAGTACATAAATGAATATACAGTAAATGAAGGTGCATATTAGTGATGGCAGTGTAGGTGAATTGTCCAAGTAACTGATGACATCATGATGTGTTATACAGTCTAACTGCAGTTGGAATGATAAGTTTTATCGTGATATATATCGTTACCACCACCCATCATAATGTATATCGTGATATGAATTTTTTGCCATATCGCACATTCCTAACCTGCAATATTTCTTATAGTAAAAATGAAGCATTTTTAATCATCATGCAGTTTGATGGACAGTAGTGACATCACCCACTGGTGTGTGTTTGTTGCCATCTTGAATTTTATGGTCTATTTTGACTAGAGTATGTCTCTAAAACCAAACTGGACCACAGGAAATAAGCCTTTTTACCTCCGCCAAGGGAGGAGGTAATGTTTTCGGTGYCGTCTGTCTGTCTGTCTGTCTTTGGACAAAATTACTTAAAAACTTATAGACAGATTTTCATGAAAATGTTTTTACCACAGGAGGGTATTGGCCAAAAAAAACCACACCTTTAAATTTTGGTGATGTTCCGGATTACGATCCGGATCCAGGAATTTCTTTGAAGGATTCTTCACTATTGCAGGAGAGGGGAACTTGGCCTTGGCGGAGGTTTGCGCTCTCCCACTGCTTCTAGTTTTAGATCTAGTTTTATTGTTCAAGCACTGTCAGGTATTTGTTAAAATAGAGTGAATTGGCCTTTTAAGATCATTATCACTTTTGAACAAAACTTATAGAAGATGTCAGAGCTGATGGAATTCCAGCCCCATGCTGGAAATCCAATTCAATTCAGTTTATTTATACAGCACCAAGTCCCAACATACGTTGTCTCAGGACACTGTACATA